GCGAAGGATGCAGGGAAGAGGGGTCTGAAACACGAGGCCACAGAACCCCATGGATGTGTCCGCTACAGACAAAGGCCAGAGGGATACTGTGAATGCAGAGGTGCCGGATGACTCAGGCTTCCACCAGAAGAAGGGCTTTCCCTCACTGGTGGTTGTCGACCTCACAGGTGCTTACCCCCCCACGAGCTGACCCCCGACACACGGGGAGGGGAGCCACAGGTACGCGCACACGGAGCAGATGGGTTAGAACACCTTCCACGGAAAAAACCAGCATTCCTCAGGCACGCTACTGCTTCCGTGTGCCGGCCTTCACTCCCCACCCGGCAACGCTTTATGAACATTAAAGTCTTAAGCTTATTTTCGATTTTCCAGGTGAGACTGTTCTCCCCTAATTAAAAGGTAGAAATAACGTAATCACTACAAGTGAAAGGAAAAGATGCTTACAGCTGCCCGGTATGCTGCGGGTGCGTTTTTAAAGGATCATATCTTAAAATATACAGATTCTTCTCATAATAAGATGAAGAGCTGGTGGCAGAAATTTTATCCCGTTGGATGAAATATATAAATCATGAATTTCATAATACTGATAATTAAATGTCCATCTTCCCATTTAAATGAGGACTAGATTAAAACTGCATGGAGAAGGCTGATATTCAGAAATCATTAATTATTTTTAATTGCTTTGCGCTTTCCTGGTCTGATGTCGGTTACATGGCTCATACACGGTTCTGTTTCAGATAAAACCCTCCTCCACTCCGTACTCGAGTCGTGGGCCAAACGGATGGGCTGATGGACTCAGACTTGCCCACGCTCGCATGATCCTGGCGTCAGCATCTTGAATGGGGACTGGTTTTTAAGAGGGAACAGCTGTAGAAGGCAATAAGCTGGCTTTTCCAGCAATCAAAAAGGAAACCGAAAAAATACACACACACACACACACACACACACACGCACACACACGCACACGCACACACACACGCACATGCACACACACACGCCCACCCGGTCGGTTCCAGGTGATGGCTGTTGTCTGGGGCCACTGTGCGCTTTTCACTCTCCAATGTGACGACGTGGTTAATGAGTATGTGGTCAGCCTAACGCTGATGGATAAATGAAGATGTCAGCATGGGGGTCTGCCCCCGACTAACAGGGAAGGACACGGAGCCCCGCGGCTCCCGCACTGTGAGGCGTCGGGGAATTTTGCTCGGCGGAGCCTCCTGAATCCGTGGGGTATGTGAGATTTTCAGTTTGATTACCTGCCTGTTTTAATATGTATTTGCTTAATTTTACTATTTTAAGCTCCCATGTCAATCTTTCAAAAGGGAGAAAAACAGGTTTTCTTTTGCAAAAATTCTTCACTTGGGAATATAAATCAGTTTCCAACAACCACCCCAGGCACCGGCTCACGAGGTGAAACCGGTCATGGACGGACAGAGGCAGTCCTAGGTGAAAGGCAGAAGCCTGTGCCGCAGGCTGGACAGGAGGGGAGCGCCTCCTCCCTGAAGGCCCCCGAGGTCTCGAGTCCCCAAGGTATGCAACGCTCAGCACAAGGAAACACCTTACTCAACTCCCAAACATTTCTGGGGTTCACCTGAGCGGATCCCCCTACATGATCATTCAGGTGGACCTTTTTAAAAAAATATATATTTTTATTGATTTCAGAGAGGAATGGCGAAGGAGAGATAGAAACATCAGTGATGAGAGAGAATCATTGATTGGCTGCCTCCTGCACGCCCCACACTGGGGATGGAGCCAGAAACCTGGGCCTGCCCCCTGGCCGGGAATTAAACCACAACCTTCTGGTTCATAGGTCGATGCTCAACCACTGAGCCACACTGGCCAGGCTCAGGTGGACCTTTTAAACTCACTGAAAAGCAGTAGTTTTGCTACTCACTGCCCCTCAGGGGCCTCCTGGTGGGGAGGGTTCAGTGAAAGGACAGTCCGGTCTCTTCCTGGGCAGCAGCTTGCTTCTTGCTGCCCGTAGGGAAGCTGCCCTGGCCCAGCCCCGGACCCAGGCTCCCTCCACCCGCAGCGGCGCCCTACGCTCCTGGCCCAGGTTTCGTTCACTCTTATCTTTTCGCTCCCATTTTTATTTTGTTACATGTATTTTTGGAACAGATGAAATAGATATGAATAAATGTTCAGACATCTAAGCATCTGAAAAAACTCTAAGAAAAGGTAGAATGCTATCATTTGGGACTAAAATAGAAGACTTTTCAGGAGAAGTAAGATATTCGTAAAAAGAAAACTAACAACCACTGAGAGTCCACCCCACACCTCTTTGGGGGGTTTATTATTTAAAAGCAGCAGTGCCCATCCTATGGATAAGTCTCTTTGCACACTGTGACATTCTAGGGGCAGTTCCCAGGGGAGGAAGTGTGAGGACCGATGGCATCTTCATGCCATTCTGATCAGGGTGCACGGTGGCCGCAAGGCCTAGCTTCCCAGGATTTCAGCAGGAGCCGAAGCTCCTCACCACCTCTGAGCGCAAGAGAAAGCCGCCGGGCCGGCTGGACCACACGGAACAGTCGACACGTTTTGGCAGACAATGCACAGGACCCCAAAAGGCCGGCGGCATGTGCACACAGAGGACGGCAGAGCCCAGCCGAACAGGGAGGACCTCGCAGACGTGGAATGAGCTCATGGGAGGTGGCAGCCCCAGAGGCTGCAGGCGCTTGAGCAGCAAATCAGGATGATCATCTGCCCCGAGGTCACAGAGGGCATTCCTGGGCGAGGCAGACCCTGACTAGATGCCTCCCTCCCTCCCTCCCTAAACATTTCATGAGCACCTCTGGTGCTGGGAACAGAGCTCCTCTGAGCAGTGTCTTCCTTTTGCAGGTGGCATGGATAGATGTCTTAGTGAAATTCAGGCATGCCCTTGGGAAAACATTTCTAAGTAAATATTACTTCAATAACCACACATACAAATCAAATGTGGGCTGCTTTTGCAAATTCTAGTTACACTGTTTGGAAATCTACTTATCTTAGGAAGGACTGCAAACTAATCACATATTCTCAGGCACGAACCAGCCCACCAGGATTCTGCACCAAAGACTCAGGCCCTGAAGCCGGCAGTGAGCGTGTGCGGAGTTCCAGCTACCATGGCATCAGGCAACGGGCAAGGGCTAAGGCCTAGGGCACACTCTGCCTTGACTGTTTTGGGAATAAACCACTGAAACCTTAACTTCACGGTACCAAACTGAGAAGTGCTACTCGGTGCCAACTCCTGCTCGTGTGGGGAGGGCGTTCTCTGCCCCTTCCAGCCAGCACACCACAGGCAGGCTGCCGGGGTCGGCGGGCAGGCTTCCCAGCCGCACCATGGCTGCCCGGTGCTGAGCTTGCAGGCTTCTGGAGCCAGCGGGTCCTGCGGGGTATTTCTGGCAGCATCACAACAAAGCATTCCTGGACCCTGGCAGAGCGATTTGGTGCCTGCAGCCGCCGAGGCCCGAGATGCCTGCTGCTCTGGGCTGCAGCCTCAACTACCTCCGCTTGGAAGATAAAACCCAAATGCCTGCCATTTACATAAATGTAACAGGAAGTTGCTGAATGGCTTCCCCTGTGTCTTGAGGCTGTTGCTAAGCGAACAGCTGAAATGAACCCAGACAACACCTCATCAAAGCCGGGCGAGGAAGCGGCGGTCCGAGGCACAGGCGCTCCTGCCAGACCGGGAGGCTGCGCTCTGTGGGCCCTTTTCCGCAGAAGCGCCAACAGCTGGGAAAGCCATCAGAGAACCCCGGCCAGGGGGGCAGCGAACACGCTGCTGAAGATCTGCGAGCTGGAGGGAACAGTCCCCTGCTTTCCTGAGCCTCCACATGTGCCTCCGAACGAGCTCCCGCTGGATTTCAGAGCTGCTCTGCCCCGCGGCACCTGGGGACATGGTTAGCTCTTCCACAGAACAGGTCATCTTTCCACCCTTGTTATGCTCCTTGTCGACTCTGCCGAACCAGCCGCCGCACAAGCGCAGCTCTCCCTGGAGATGCTGTTCTCAGACACGTCCCCCCACCCTCCGGGCGCCTGGCTCCGGAGTGCAGCCAGGCCGGTGGGCTCGGGGACACCCCTGTCCTCGTTTCTCCCTGCAGGTGTGCCACCCAGAAATGGAACAACTGGCTTTTGCTTTTACTTCCAAACCTATTAGGGAGTGATCATAACAAGAAAAACTAATACTGACACGAATTACACCATTGTTCTATTTCGTCTATTTAGTAACCCGAAGTTGCGATTTTTAGAGAAAAGATTACCTCTTAAATAACCGATTCATTATGGTACATGAGTGAATGCCATGTTCCCGTGTTCGAGATGCCACTCAGCATTAAGGGCGAGCGCTGGGAAGTGGCACTGATTTGCCACTTCCCCCTCAGACAGACCCGGACCGGAGGCCCCGTATAATCGAGGGGAGCTGGTGGGTTTCCAAGGCTCTTAGCAAGTCACCCGCCCGCCAGGCACCTAATGAATCTCAATTCTGTAACAAGGCTGTGAGCTCCCCTCCCTGGTGAAGGGGAAAGGAAAACCAGGACTGATGAAGTTCCTGCCAAGGTAACACTATCAATTTCAAGGCCGAGTTCAGAAATCACAGACTCATATGTGGGGGTGAGGGGGAGGCCGCCCGCAGACCCTCTGGCCACAGACCTGGCTGTGAGAGATGAGAGGCGGACAGCCCTGGATGCGGGCGGAGGGGCCAGGCCCAGCTCTGCGCTGCCCCAGGCCCGTGGGAAACCTGCCCTGGACCTGGCCGGTGAACAATGTGGTGACTATTCTCTGGAAACCTCCCTTCAAGCTTGTGGAACCCACACATTGTTTTTCATCATTAGTTTCAAAACATGCTGCGTATCTGGCCCTCCTCTGAGTGCTGCGGTGACACAAAGGAAAGGGAGGCCTGGTCGCTGCTGGGAACAGGCCCCTTGTAGGGAGAAGGAGGCAAGACGGATGCCACCAGAAGCCTGGAAACGGCGAGGGAGGGGGTGCGGGACCGTCGGTCGCTGCCGCTGGCGGGGCCCACGTACCTGAGATGGCGTACAGGTTGGAGTGCTGGTACTCGTAGTCAGCCCGCGTGCTGTTCCTGCCCCGGAAGGTGGCGGGCAGCGTCAGGGAGATGTGCCTGGGGAGAGACGGGGAGACAGGAGGTTACGGGTGCAGGAAGTGTTCCCCAGGCGCAGAACGCACCGACGCCATTGGCGGCCCCAGCAGCATGGCGCAGAGTAGGCGCTCCTGGCGAGCAGGCCTCCTCCACCAGCCCGAGTTCCCCGAGGAATTCAGAAGTTTCCCGACATCAGCAGCCACCTTTCCACACGGAAGGGCATCTGAGAGGAAGACAGGGTTTCCCAGCCCACGGCACGCCAGGTGCTTCAAGGAGGCGGGCAGCTCAGTCCAGGTCTCTGCCCAGCAGGTAAAACACACCCACGGGCCCAGAACCCTCAGGCTCTGGACTCGAGCCTCGGCTGTTCTGTGTCTTGGTCCCATTTTCCATCCCTCGGCTTCCACACCTGCCCTGCAGGGCAGCTGGGACAGCAGCTCAGGAAGCGCTTTGTGAACAAGGTGCTGGGCACGGTTACCACGTGAGTCCAGGAAACGAAGGACCACGGAGGATGGGGATGGCCTGCTCCTCTGAACTGCTTGTCTGTGTGTCCCCTCTGGTGGGAGCACACAGTAGGTGCTCAGGAAAGCACCCTCGATTGACCAGCATGTCTTTTGTGGCACAGGTGTTGGCCATTAAAGCTACGAGTATCCAATCAAAGCAAATAACCCATTTGGTGTGGTTGTCAGCTGCCTTTAGCAAATGCAGAAAAGCAAGACGAAAACAACAGGAGAAACATTTAAAACCCCAGAGGTCTGAGGGGACAACAACAAAACTCCCTCTTCTTGGCATGACCCTCTTCTTGGTACGACGGGGGTTGGAGGGCGTTGGTTTGAAGTAGCTCAGTACCTGAGCTTCGGCCACACTCAGTCCTTTCCAAAAGGGAGGAAGCATCTACGACGTAAGAAAGCTTTACGTTTCACACGCTGCCTTTTCCACATCACACGTGGGGGATGTCCTAGAACGACTGGTACACAAGGACTCCTGGGAGGAAGGCTTCTCCGGGGAGGCCTGTTCCCATGGACTAGGAGCGAGCAGGAGTCCCCCAGGAGGACCCAGGCGCCGAGGCTGTAAAGCACGCATGTCAAACGCAAAGGCTAACACGGGCCAAATAAACGAGGCATGCGGCCCGCGGGCGCGCGTTTGACACGCCTGCTGTGAAGGCATTTGGTTTGCCGGTTGTGGAGCGAGCACTGAAGGCGGTGACGCCAACCAGCCCAGCTGACCCAGCTGAGGGGCTTCACTGAGCACCGAGGGTGCGCCCGGGGCTGCAGGGGAAGCAGCAGCATAACTACTGGACATGTGGCCACTGGGCGCTCTGCCGTGTGTAGTGAACGTGCGTGATGCTAACTGAGGGTGCAGGTGAGCCCCGAGGAGCCCTCAGGCCGCAGGGGACAGAGGTGCAGGAACAAGTACCTTCAACATGACCCGCTCGGAGGAGAATACAAACTGGGTGCCGAGTGAGCCCCAAAGGAAGGAACAGCACCCTTGGATAAAGGGGCCAGAGCTTCTTGCGACACCTTCTCAGCCAGGGCCAGAGAGGAAAGGGTTTGGGTTCTCCGCCCGAAGATGAAGGTTCCCAACTCTGTTCTGCCCATCACGGCACAGACGAAGGCATTAGAGTCACCTGGGAACTTGCTAACGATACAGATTCACAGCCCAGACCCTGGGAGCCGGTTCAGGGGGCCTGGGGTGCAGGCCACAGGCATCTATTCTCAACCAACCAGCTCCGCAGAGACTGGGCCTGGCCGCGTTTGGGAAACCGGAGGTGAGGAGCAGCTGCAGAGGTGTAAGCAGTTGATCAATGCCTCTGACCACAGCACTTAGTCAATGAAGCTGAGCAAACATGAGAATGAATTATTGGCTGCGGTTGTGGTTGAGTAGAGCTGAAATGATGACAGGTGACCCTGCAGCGAGGGCCTGCCATGCGCCGGGCCCTGGGGTGTGCGGGTCTCCCAAGTTCTCTATGGCTCCTCACACCGCCCCCCGAGGCGGACACGGGGCCAGCTCTGCGACGGGCAGTGCTCGGTGCAAGATGGGAATGTGGGGCTCTGGCTCTAACATCATTAAGAATTCAAGACGGTGCCAGCAGGGCATTGAGCAAGCATGGGCCCTTCTGAGCACGGGCGCCGTGGGACTGTTCTGGCTGCACACCGTGAAGCTGGCCGGGCAGGTGCTGTTGCTGCACCCACTATACCAATGAGGGGATTGCCAGGGAAGAGATGCGCTTCGGGGCTGCCACACCCTGAGATTTCTGAGCCTTGAAAGCCCAAAAGACACATCTGCTCTAACTAAGGACAGAACACCGGTGCAGAGCAGCAGCGGCTCCGGGCTGGAGGCACTCAGGGCCCTGCTAGAGTTCTGACTTTATCCAGAAGCATTTTTAAGCAGAGATGTGACAAGACCCAATTTGCAATTTTAAAAGATTGCCTGCCTGTGGGAACGTGAGGGCAAAAACCTGCGTTGCCCTGAGTGGTGGAAATGGAGCAGCAAATTATGATGGAGATAACCATGAAACTGCAAACAATTATTCAGCACCTACAGTTTACAGACCCTCAACAGTTCATGCCAAAATGACCTGCTGCCACCCTCTAAGCCAGCGGTTCTCAACCTGTGGGTCGCGACCCCTTTGGGGGTCAAACGACCCTTTCACAGGGGTCGCCTAAGACCATCGGAAAACACATATATAATTACATATTGTTTTTGTGGTTAATCACTATGCTTTAATTATGTTCAATTTGTAACAATGAAAATACATCCTGCATATCAGATATTTACATTACGATTCATAACAGTAGCAAAATTACAGTTATGAAGTAGCAACGAAAATAATTTTATGGTTGGGGGTCACCACAACATGAGGAACTGTATTAAAGGGTCGCGGCATTAGGAAGGTTGAGAACCACTGCTCTAAGCAAATAGTTTTGGGATCATTCTATGGCACAGGGGACTTGCTCCTTAGCTGCCCTGGACCCAACGTGGTCTGACCTCCGCTGCCTCTCCTGGCCACCGGATCCCACCTGGCTGACCCCACCCTTCCCCCCCCCCCCCCCCCCCCCCCCCCCCCCTTTCTTCCTTGCAGATGGTCCTTTCTGGCTCCTCCTCCCACCTTTTCAAGGTTGCTGTTTCCCAGGGTTCTGGTTTAGCTCCCTTCTCACTCCACACACCTGCCCTGGGCTCCCACATCCACATCCACACCCCGGTTCTAGCCGTTTTCACACACCTGCCCAGCTGGCCAGCCTGTGTCTCCCTCTGACAGGAAGGGAAGTCTTGTGAGTCTGTGCCGATGCCATGGTTTTTTCATGCCTTAGCCTGATTCTTTATTCACGCTGCTCCCCCTTCCTAGAATCGCCGCCATTCCTTATGGACTCTCCAAACTCCTACTTATCCTTCAAGACCCCCTCTAAGCACACACTCTTCGGTAGGGTCATCGCTGGGCTTGTTCCAGGCTGGGCTGGATGCCTGAATGACCTCTCTCACTCCAGGTACCCCAATATACTTAACCATTTGATATAAGCCTATCTCCCTACTATGACTGTGACCTCCTCAAGAGCAGGGCCAAATCTCATCACTTTTGTACCCCATTTTCTAGGGCAATTTCTGCCCTAGATTACTGAATATTTGTCAACCAAATCCAGTGTTGAACCTACTCCATGAAAACCCCTGGGCCCTTCTTGGACATGAAGTGCTGTTAGCCTCTATTATTTCATTTCTGCATGTGTGCGTTCCCCAGTTAGATTCAAGGACTCTCTGGGAGATGCGTTATACCGTGCACCCCACTCCTCTTTGCTATGGAGGAAAACAGGTATAATGTAACAAGAAGTCATTGGCGGCAGCAGCCAGGAATTTACAAGGGGGGAAAAAGTTTCTGATCTCATGCCACAGACAACGTCTGGTGATACGGTAAATGTAAAATTAAAAGATGATTCAAACTCTGGCGGTGTGGGTAAGTGGTTAGAGCATCAGCCCAATGTATGAAGGGTCATGGGTTCAATTTCTAGTCAAGGGCACATACCTGGGTTGCAGGTTGGATCCCTGGCCCAGAGGGGTGTGTGGGAGGCAATCAATCGATGTGCCTCTCTCACATCTCTCTCTATCTTTTATAGAGTAATTGCTCAATAGGTATTGGTTGAAATCAAGCTGCCAGAAACTCCAGCTATAGCAGCTGATGCAGCAGTGTGGGGGTGGGCAGCTCTCAGAGAGCAGAGAGTGGTCAGGCCTGGCCCGCAGCACTGGGGAGAAGAGTTCCTACGCTGCAGAAGCTGCTTCTGCATGTGTGCTTCTGCTGTTCCGGGGCCCAGAAAGGAGGGGAGGTGGGGAAGAAGGCAAATCAAGCCTCCTGTTAATGAGAAGGAACAGGTTGGGCCGAGGGACCGATCACCTGTGGTTAAATTGGATGGAAGTCACCTGCCGAAGGAGAGGTGGCCCGGGCTCTGCCTGTCCGATTAGCCTACCAGGGTCAGGGGAGCTCTGCCGTCAGCTGAGTCTCAGCGAAGTGACATTCTAGTCCCCTGTGTCTGGTGGGGACCCCCCTGCCAGGCACTGGGCTAGGTTCCTTCACACACAGCACCTTGCCTCATCCTCTCAGCAACCTTCTAAGGTGGGAATAATTACATTTACTGAACAGAAGGAAGAAGCCACCAGGAAACCGGCTCTCCCTGGCGTGGCGCCCAGAGATGAAGGCCTCTGGGACCTCCCCGCAGGCCCCGGGCCGTTGGAAGAAGGAGCAGGCCGTCAGAGGCCAACGATTTCTGCCACTTGACTCAAATGATGAATTAATATTCTAACATCCGTTTGGTAACGGGAGGATTCTAACTAGAGCACCCCCAAATGCTCGGGCACTTTACTGAGCGTTCTTCTCTGTCCCCCACCCAGGGAGCTGCCCCTGCTGAGCCACCACCTCCCTGCAGGAGCGACGGGCTGTCCCGTGACAAACAGGTCAGCATCCCACACGCTGCTGCCAAGGGCTCGGCTGAGCAGATGCTGAGGGAAATTTCATTCCCCGCCTCCCCCCAGTCAGGCAC